AACACGTCTAAAAGAAAAAATAATCTTGCAAAGACCGAGCCTAAAAACATATCTATGTCTGGGTTTAGGTCGTGCCTTCAAACATTTATAAGAACAACAATTTTGATGGATGGTGCTGCTCGTGATATACCTATCGAGGAAGGTATTTTTAGTTTTGATTTTTCAGAAACAATTGCTAAAGAGGAGTTGGATCAGACTTTTGATTGATCAATTAGGTATGGGTGTTATCCATACATACATCAGGTACTTTGATCAAGTTTATTTAATTAATTGAATAATTTATTTACTCATTACAATGAATAGTCTAATGTTAATTATGTTTTTATTTAAGGTTCTTGTATGACAAATTGATGCGTCTGCGTCAATTGGCAGAAAGATTCTCTTTCTTTTCTCCCCACCATATCAACGCACGAGAAAACGAACATAATCCAAATACAGTCAAAGAGTACTCAGTCAGTGCATTTATTGCCAACAAAGATACATAAAAGTTGTTTCTTTTACTGTATAATACTGACGATCAATTAGATTTTCATTCTAACTTCATTTATTATAATTTTTCTTTTTTTGACGGTGTGTAGAAAATTTTGATCTGACTTTTGTTTAATTTTACAGTGGACACTGGTTGTTGGTTGTGATTAATCATATAAGAGAACTAGTATATTATCTAGATTTGTTAGATGGTGATCAAATAAAATACCCAGATATGAAGATGATGGTTGATACGTAAGTGAGATTGTTCTAAATATTCGTGCATATATTTATTTATTTATGTGAGTTTATTCTAAATATTCATTTATATTTTGTTAGAGCTATACAAATATTTCGATCACAAAGACAAGCTGAAGTACTAAAGAGTAAAGCAGAAAACATTACATGGATCAGTGTGCAAGTATATTTTCACAATTTTGATTATAATAGTGATGTTACTTGATAAAATTAGTTAAATTATATATCTTGATGTATATTCGTATTTTTTTTTATGTATAGTGTCCTCGTCAGCGTAATGATATAGATTGTAGTTATTTCGTATTGAGGTTTATGAAAGAAATTATTCTTTTGGATAAAATAGAGATTTCAAACATGGTATAGATTTATAAGTTAGGATTTATTTTAATATTTAACAGATATTTCATCTAATTAATTAGTGGTAACTAAATTATATTATGTAGTACTTTGATGAATTCAATTGTGCTAATTACTCGAAAGGTCAACTTGAAGAAATTAAGAAGGATTGGTGGCAATATATTCTTGAGTTGAGAATTTTATAAGATATTATTTTTTCTTTCATTTATGTGAAGTTTATGGTCCTTAGAGATTTATGTTGTTGTGATGTTCTATATTGAATTGGAATAGTTTCGGAAGTTCTTGTGAATTAAGGATTGATGGAGTTTGTAATGGTATATAGCATTTACAAATTTTGATACAAATATTATTTTCTTGGTGTATGAGTTTCTGTTGAATTATA